GAGGTATAAACTGGCATAATCTGTAGGTTATATCCTTCATGTTTTTATTGTCTGTTGATCATCCGCCCATACCATAGCATTCCGTAAATTTATTTTAGAAGTGATTGAGAACTTAAAAATTCATTGATTTTGTTGGCTGTCCTGATGTTTGTCCAGGATCGAATATACCAATCACTTGGTATGGCCTGCTCTTTGCTTACTATTCTAATTTCGCAAAGTATTACTGCTTCGAATCTAATGCAAGTAATGTCCTCAAACAAGATGAACAGGTCATATTTTGCTCTCAGACACCAAGGATCAGGAACACTCCCCCTCCTCACATATATATGTACAGTTGCGGAATTATATTTCAATACACATTGTGAACAATAAGTAGCAAGACCGGATGGCAGATTCACACCTCGGTCCAAGCAGCTGCCTTTCTCCTTGCGCAGGATGCAGTTGCTGCCTTCCTTTCTCTTTTCGCACAGGAATAAACATCCGCCCTCCAAGGAAACCGCCGCATAAAAGGGCACGTGCCTAAGACGAGGGAGAGACACGGCAGACAGGGCACACAGGGTCCAGCTCCACTACCTCGTCCTTCACTCAGGGACACGGGGGTCTCTTGGGGGTCTCATATCTATCTTCAGAAATAAACCAGCAAGTTAAGACCCCTTTCATTGACCGCCCCAAGACCATCTCTGTTACGCTTACATCTAGTGGCTTGCGGTGGTCACTTACGCTTACACACATGCTGGGTCACACTTTTGTACATCTGGCAACCACCTTGATGTAAACATAGTGTAAATAGTATTTTTATGAATGAGGCGAAAACCCTAGGTTGTTTGCTACAAAGAGCGTGATTGGCTGAATATAAATAACTAGTGAGTGTATTAATATCTATTTTTAGAAACGAATATTTCGTGTTTTTTTAAATAACTGGTTGCAAAACGTGCAGTATTAATTATCATTGGCTTTGTATAGAACGTTTTTCAAATGCGAATTCTTTGAATTGTTTACTGAAATGGCAACGCCTGTGGAGGTAAGGCGGCATTCCTCCCCTTTTGAATATAGAAAACGCCTCATACTTCAAATAAATATATATATCAGAAATCTGCAAATTCGCTAAGTTAGCAAGTGCTTCTCGAAGCTGCACCATCTAGTAGCAGCTGAGCGAACGAATGAAGTGAGTCGTTTCTTTTCACCTAAACAAAACACTTTCAATAAACAGAAAACATACTACGTTATATTCTCCATTATAGAACATTACATGAACGCAAAACCGCAGTATGAGTATGGAGAATATAAACATGCATCGTATGTGTGTATGTGTGTGTGTGTGTGTGTGTGTGTGTGTGTGTGTGTGTGTGTGTGTGTGTGTGTGTGTGTGTGTGTGTGTGTGTGTGTGTGTGTGTGTGTGCGTGCGTGCGTGCGTGCGTGCGTGCGTGCGTTTGTGTGTGCTCGCGCGCGTGTGCATGCGTGTGTGTATGTATGAGCCTGCCTGCGCGCCTGTGTGTGCGTATGCGTCTGTGTGCAAGTATATACTTGATGAATTACAAAAATATATGACTAGTGTAGCATTTTTACTATAGAAACTTAATTCAAATTTTGGAATCAGTCTTCGTCATCTGCAAGACCTGCGGTCGGCCGCATGGATCCTTTCGAGACCGGCAGAGAGCGAAATTCTGTCACGATTCAGGATGACGAAGGAGGCTGCATATGATCATATACAGAAGATTCTATCCCACTTACCCCACTTACCTCAAACTCTCGATGATCTGCCTATATTTTTTCATATTTCAATTTGATTTGATAAGTAATAACTTATAGACCACTATTACACACTAGTATTGCCAAATCAAAGCTATTTTATCCCAACCTAACCTGATTTAACCGAACTCTACATAACCGGTTCCCTATTTTAGAGTACGTTTGCGGCGACTATCTGTCTAGAAGAAAAGTTTCCTAATTAGGTGCTTAATCGATAGTTATCAATATACTTCAGTTTCGTGAATCATGTTATACCGAAAATTGACCATTATTTCATCCAACAGGTATTTCTGTACGCCTTACCTGCAAGTGCTCATCACCTTGATGTATATGGCCATTGGTAATCACCAGCTGACAGTTCCAGACTGCTACAGATGTTGTATTCGTGTGACACGAGTCATTGCCAGGATGAGCCATAACATCATCAAGATGCCTGGAACAAATGAAATACTCATAGGGGATTTCATGGCAATTGCTGCAGTGCCTGCTGTTGCTGACTGCGTTGACTGCACCCATATAACCATCAAAAAGCTACCTGGGGACCGGTCTGACATCTTCTGAAACAGGAAAGGAGTATTTGCTAACACCACTAGCCAATCCTCAATCCCGTCAAGATCAACGCTACAACAGTTCCCACACTACCACCAGAAACTGCATCGAGCGGGCTTTCGATGGTTGTTTGGGCAAGAAAATGCAAACAAGTCTAGAAAACAAAAGTTACTCTCGTCGCTGCAGCCTCGCTGTCAGACAGAGGATGCCACTTCCCGATGATGTGCCATTTCAGCTAGAAGCAGAAGCCCCTGGCGACCCAAACCTCTCCCTGATAACCATGCTGGTGCCTCTGTTAATGCACAGGGCAGTGTAGAACGTTGCCAGATTATTCAGAATTACTTTTGATCCTTGTATTTCTCATATATTATTTAAAGGTAAAAAAAAATCTCATTGAGTTTTATTGAAGATATCCCCGAAAACCAAATGGGTTTTATCAACGAATACTATTATCAGACTATCAAAATGAAGAAAAAGAGGGAAAACGGATTAAGGAAGACTCAGCCGGTAACTGAATCTATTTATACATTGTATTACTGGAATACAATATTTTACAAGCCTTGATATATGTTACCTAGGTTTCTATGCAAAAAATATAAGTCATGAAATACAGTTAAACCAAAATTCATTTATTTTCGCTTTTCAGTTTTATTTTGAGTAATTCATATTCCGAGTTAACAGTTTTCAATGGTTTAAGCTTTAAGTCATATTTAACTTTCTTGACTTTTGTTTATTCTTTAAGTCAATTTCTAACCGCTTCATTTACATTATCTTAATTTTCAAATCTCTTTCATGTTCCTTTCGTCGTAATTAAATTGACTCATGATATGACGCTTCTTGAACACTGAACTTAGTTCCTCGTTTATTTTTCCTCCTGAGCAGCGAATATTGTTTAGAAGAGGACCGCAGTAAGTGGTAGGTTCTGATGAACAAAACGCTGGCGCTGTTTGTGATTCTGGCGCTGAAGATGCACTGGGCTCTGCCGGTAATTCTGAGGATGTGTGGGACTCTAGCTGTGATGCAGAGGAAAAAATCGTCGAAGCTGGGCAGGACTCCGGTGGTATTGCTGAGGATGGCCGGGACTTCCTCCTCCAGGTCAATTTCTACAGCAGTCGTTGGTATTCCAGAGTTATCAACATCAACTAATGTTGCTGTTACGCTACTGTTTGCCTCACCTATTAAAGAGGAACCAGAGATTCTTACATACAAATAGTATACATATACACATATATATGTATATATTCATATATGTATATATAATTATATATGTATAATTATATGTGTACTTGTATAAATATAAATGTATAAATGTGTACGTATACAGTACATGTGAGTGTGTGTGTATATGTGTATGTTAAATATAAGTATATGTATATATATATATATATATATATATATATATATATATATATATATATATATATATATACATACATATAAATACACACACACACACACATTATATATATATATATATATATATATATATATATATATATATATATATATATATATATACTCAATATACATATATTTACATATAGACATATGCCTATATACATACACACATCTATATACATATACATACATACATATACATATATGTACATATTTATACACATACACATTTATCTATACACATAAAAAACACTTATATATACATACATGTACCTATACACATTACAAGTCAGGTCAGGTCTCCACCTGCCACAGGTACCATGTAACCCTGTGCTACCTGCCGCGTGTGGGCAGATGGAGCTCGACAGCCGAGGAAGGCAGTCCATCTAAGACAAGGACAAGTCTGACAGAAAACCCCTGAAGTGCTGAGGAATGCTGGACAGTCTCGACATGCATTGACCCTGGGTCCATGGCCATGTCCCGACCTTCAGTAGCCGCGCCCCCGCCGGGTAACAGCCCCCGTGCCTCCGAGGAAGGTTTTTGAGCCAGAGGCTAGGACAAGGACAGTCTGATGTAAAACCTATGACCCGAGGACCTCACTGCCACCGTCCCAGCTTGCTAGGCTATGGCAGATGAACCACGGGTGTAAAG